AAAAAAAAAAAAAAAAAAAAAAAAAAAAAGCAAACATAGAAACACGAACCAGAAACAACAACTTGCTACCAATGTTCTTGCATTGAACTAAAATAAGATCCCTCTGTCGTTAGAGGTCTTGATTCATCAATGGGAACCAAACAGAGACCTACATCTTTGAATGTCTCAGTCAACATATCACCTCAGCATGCATACAGTTTTATTTGTACTCATTGGTTCTGTGGGGAAAATTGTATATTCCCCTTGTTTAGTCGATGAAAATTGGGGGGTGGGGGGGACAAGCTGTGGGTGGGAGGGATTTTTGTATAAGGCATCATTTTTTTTTTCCTCTGTGTGTGAAGATTTTATGTGTTCATCTACTGATTCCACATATGCTATTATTGTAAATATTTAACATTTCTATTTATTATAGTGTCCCCATTTAAAAGAAAAAAGAACACTGCTGGCTATGATAATTTAAACGTATGTCATGACCTGTGTTGTATATATTCATGCCACTAGTATGGTTTTTTTTATGTTTAAAGCTGCATAAATATAGTTTTATACAGTTCCATAATGTTATTGACAGCATAAATCATTTATTTATTGTTAAACCTTTCTTTCATATCTAACAGATAGGGTGCGTTTTACCTGAGATTATTTTATTGTGACATCTTACATAGCCTTAATTCTTTATATAAAAAAAAGGAGAAAAAAAAAGTCCATTTAGATACTGTATGATGCTTTAATTAACATTCCTTATGAACTTGCTGTTCATGAAGGAGGTTTAGCTTAAAAGCCAAGGTATGAATGTTTCCTTTATGCTTTGCATCTGGAATGAGCCTTGTTCTGGAATGAAAATACTGCGAGAGAAGCAAAACGCCTACAGGAAAAAGATAGCAGTAAACCCTGGAAAATGCTGTCCTAACTTACAGTGCTGAACTAAAAGGAGAAAAAAAATAAAATAAAGAAATAGAAAAAAGACAAGCTGTCCTTAATTCCAAATCTCTGGGAGAAAAAACATACTAGTTTTATCTCGTGTAGAGTTTGCAGCCAAATAAGCTTGTAAATAGAGAAAATGCATATGGCTTTAGACAAAGCTCTGTACCTTTCACACWCTATTATTTTCCTTAAACACTAATAAATGTTTTGAATAAGTCTGTGGCTGGGTTTTGTTTCAGCTGCTGTGAGATAAGGGGGTAGGAAAAGCCCTCTGAAGCTGAGCCAGCAGCTCAAGGGGGGCAGAGGGAATTTGGCTGCTCGTCCCCCACGGCCGTCAGAGGTGTCCTGGCAGGGGCAGGGCATGGGGACAGAGCCAACCTGGTCCCTGGTGTTCRTTCCCCAGGAGAGGGAGACTTTGCTGGCGGGGACCTGGAGCTCGGTTTGAGGCAGGAATGGAGACCAGGAATCAACTCGGGGTGGAAAACAGAGCAGGAGCTGGTGCCCTCCTCAAGCTCAGACAAAGCCCCTCCAGGACAAAATCCTCCAGGAGGTTTTCCTTTAGCAGGAGCCGTGGGTTGGGATCACTGCAGCTTGTCAGAGCCAGCTCATCTGCCCCAAAGCAGCGGGTTCAGGTCAGGCAGGGAGCAGGGGGTGCAGCTGCTGGGGTTTCTCCTCACTGCCCTGGTGATCCTGGATTCCCAAAGCTGTGCTCAGCCAGGCTGGCTTCAGGCASAGCCCAGCATCCATGAGTGCATCCCAGGGGAGGCAGGGAGGGGATCTGTGGCTGACCACAGCACCTGCCTGTGGGCAGGGTGTTGGCAGCCCCCAAAGCCCCAAGCGCTGGATTGCAGCCAGACCCGTTCACAAACCCAACAGCAGCCCTTTCTCCAGGCTGKGAGAGCTGATAGGATTTGTCCTGCACGTGTGAGAGACTCAGTTCAGGTAACAGCAAGAGTTACCCCTTCAAAATTTTCCCTTAAAACCAGAGGACATCCATTTGGCTCCCCACTGCCAGCTATCAACAATTATCACAAAGTACCAGCCGGTGTTTCTGTACAGGGATGTCACAGGAGCTGTAATTCTCTCTTTAATCAGATATCGAAATCTTAGGTGCTTACTGGAGTTTCAGCAAAGGAGAACAGCARAATCCTAAGGTTTACAAAAAGCAAGCTGCAGAAACAGCCCTTTGTGTTGTCTCCAAAAACATTTTCATACAGTGTCGGGGTGTAGGCAGCAAAGGGTTGGGGAAATTGTGAGAAAGCACCTCAGAACATAGAGCACGGATTTCTTTTTTTTTTTTTTTTTTAAGGCTGCTTGCATGAAAAAGCACATTTTTAACACTCCTTCTGTGGAGTTTAAAAATAACTAATCCAGTTGAAGCCTTTGGATGAGATGGGCTTCACAAGCCTCAATGTGATTTGCAGCAATGTAGGACCTGTAGCATTTCTCTGCCTGGAGGTGCAGCAGCTCTTTATAATCCTGTCATGGACTGTCAAACCCCAACGGGAGTGTGCATCCTGCCAGCAGAGCTGTCACAGGCTTTGGTGGGTGTCACCTCAGACCAGCCTGACTCAGGCTGCAGCCAAAAAATCACTTGTKCTGGACATTGACCATCCCAGTGCATTTTCCTTGCAGGAGCTGCTCCTCACCACGGCTGTGATGCAGCTCAGGTAGCTGCATTCTGCCTCCACCAACCTCATCATCATTTCAACCCCCAAAAAAGTTATTTTTTCGCCTCCTAATGTGTAAAATGGTGAGCCTGCATTCTGCTTCCAAAAGAAGCAGAATTTCTCCATTACTGATGGAGAAATGACCCCCAGCTCCCCTTAGGGCATCACGTCTCACAAAATAGCACAGTCAGTCACAGAGTGCTGACATTAAAAAGTGCAGAAGCACGGGRAGAAAAAGAAACACTAAAACAGACTGCAGAGCAGCGATTCTGCATTGCACAACCCACTAAAATATGTTTAATACCAGCTACAAGTCTGCTCCGAGGCTGGAGTGATCTTGGTTCAATTTGCTCCGAGTTGCTTTACAAGCGAGGCGAGGAAAACCAAATCCAGAAAAATTCAAACTGCAAATGCACATCCACACACACAGGTCTGAGCCAGCTGAGCAAACCCCACCAGGATTCGTACATGTGGTCCCTTTAGAGTTATTCTCTTTACGGGCTCCCTGTCTTGCCTCCCAAAAGAACAAAATTAATCCCAGCTATTGGCTTGCTCAGGCATACCAAAACATTTACAAATGTATATGGCAATTTCCATATGTCAGCCCACACGGTGAGCTGAGTCAGAGGCGCTGCCAGCAGCTCTGCCCAGGTTCTCAGGTACTGCCCTTCGCTCTCCTCCCTCGCCCGGAGATGCCAGGAGAGCCCAGGCAGCTCCAGAGCAGCTCCGTGCTGCGTCACGCCCGAGGAATTCATCCCAGCCATCTTCCCAGGTGAGGGAATAGTTAAACGCTCGCTGGGAAGCCTCTCAGCAGAGCATTTCTGAAGCTATTTCCTGACATCTCACCAGAAACACAAATCCCACTCAGTTTTCGCTGCTAGTTCTGTTCGTGTTTCCATGCTCCCCTCGGAGACTCTCGCAGGAAAGGCTTCTCTCGCACCTGCTGGAGGCACAAATCGCTGCCTGTTCCCCCAGGGATGAGTTCAGCCCATCTCCAGCCCTGAGCAAAGCCTGAGCCATGCTGCCACCTGCCCTGTGCCCAGCCAAATTTGGAATTTTGGAGAGGAGATGCCAGGGGGGCAGCTGGACCCTCCCCAAAGCAGGAGCTCCACTGGTGCTCCCAGGTCTGGTCCTGCAGCACCGGCTCCAACAGGTCCTGGCACAGGGTTGGGGCTCAGTAAACCTTGTAATTACTGAAATCCTGGCTATTTCTGTTTTCTGTAGGGAAAAGCCTCCCAGCCAGGGCAGCGTTGCATTTTGAAATGAAAAGCTCATGTCTTTCTTGGTTGTGAATGTGAAATGGGGACTCGAGGGCTGAAAGACATGTCAAATTATGGGAAGCTGCAGGGGCTGAGAATTCCTATCTCCGAGAATACTGCCTGTTACAGCCCTGACCTTTTCTGCAAATACCATCCTTCCCTATAAAAACGTGGCTTGGAGTTTATTTAGAAATTCTTTTCAAGTAAGAAGTCGTCCTTTGGAGASTCTGCTGTGAGATTCTCCGTGGAGATGGAGGCTTTTTTTAAGGTGTTCTGCTGGAAGAAATTGCCCCAGGGGCAGTGCCACTGGAGCCAGAGTGCTGGACACACTTCCACACATCTCAGTGGCTCTGGTGACACCACAGACACCAAAACTTGACGTGGTTTTGTGAGAGAAACCTCAGCAGGGTTGAAACGAGGGCTGGTTTGGCTGACACAGTGCAAGAACAAAATGCCCCCGTGGCACAGGCAGCACCAGCTTCCCCGGTGTCATTGGAAACAGCAGCTCATGGAAAAGCAAAAACCAGRCTGCGTTCGAGCACAGCACAGGATCAGCCCTCTGCTATCTGAGGCATTATGGCATGAAATCCCTTCTATAAACCCCGCTTCCATTTCTCAAATTTTCTGCAGTTTGTAGCTGCTTTTCTATATCCCACAGTCACAYCGGGCTACATTTGTCACCCATGAATAATCCCACTTACATTGCAGAGTCTCTTCCTACCCTGGAGAAAAATGCAGTGGGAGGTGTGGGGAAGCTCAGTGAAAGCTGACAGCCAGGAGAGACTGGGAAAGGCCTACAGAGCTCCTTATTTAGATGTCCTATTTTAAGATAAAATGAAGAGGAACTATGCACATTCAGCATTTTGCTAAACTGACATGAAACCAAGTCACTACAAAATCAGTTTGCAGAGGGATGCAGCGCACATGCTTGGAGCCTTCTGTAAAATATTATTATTATTTATGATTGCAGTAGYTCCTGGCTGTCAGCGAGTCCCAACCTTGGGGCTACTGATCCGTGCATCCAGGAGAGAGCCCTGGCCAGGAAAAGATTCCATTGGTGGAAGGAAACGTTGCCCTTTGCCTCCCCATGCAGAAAATGAAATAGTGCCTGCCTGGGCACTCAGAATTAACTCCCTGCA